TGATGGATATCTAGAAAATATTGCAATAATGCAATGAAAGAGCCTGTTTTTTATAGACAATGATTTATGAATGAGTCTAGTGTAGATAACAAATTAGATTAAACTAATCAGCACTTCAGATATCTTCAACAATTAACTGATAATAAGCAAAATCACACAAATAATTACAATGATAGCTTTATAAAAGAACATATGTTTTACAGAGAAGTATGGGAGCTAGTACATAAAGCAACAAATAAATGTCTACTATATCAAGATGATGAGTTTGTTAATATAGTTAAGACTTATTTGTCTAATGTATATAAATGTGAAAAGAAGTTTACCCAAATTCAAATGTCTGATTCAGAGAGTGACGAGTTAAATGACAAGTCAAGTAAAGAGAATGCACCAGCCTTTAAACTTAGAAATCTACTAAAGATTGCTACTAGAGGTAGACTGAAGGCATCTACATATTATAATAATAACCAAAGTCAAAAACCAAAGGATACAAGAACTTTGTCTAATAAGCAATATCAGCAAAAATCTAAGGATACAAAAGGCTCATCTAACAAATGAAAACACAATCATTATTGCTATTGTAAGAATCCAGATCATAATGTCACAACATGTCCAGAAAAAAGCACTAATTAGTAAATAAGGTATAAGTTTAGAACTGGTTTAAATGTACTGTACTGCTACATATAATTTATCTGCTTTATTACAGTATTAACAACATAATGATAATTTTTTACAGGTTTAATTCAATAGTATAATGCAGTAATATGTAATGATAAACCTTAGCTACAAAAGTAATACATATATACATACAGAGATGCAAAAAAAAATTTCACAGATCATAATGATGACATACATATGATTAATATCTATCGCCAGATTAAATTAAAGTCCTTGTTTAGATTTAGGATAGGATCGGGATAAACTAATTAAATATTTTTTGCTTTAGCTTTAGTAAAGAAAATGCTGCAATGAAGGTAGCAGCTATAGTGAAAGCATCAACTATTCTTTGCGAAGCAAAGGATAACAAAAAGTTCATTTTTGAATAGAAGTTTTTTTTATTAAACTTTTAACTTGTATTTAAATTGCGCATATTTCATGTGATCTGTAAAATTTTTAAACTGGCATTTTTTTATATATGTTTAGTATAAATATTATAGTATATGTTATATATTAGTGTTGTATATGATTTTATATTACATGATTATGGGGATGCACTGCTGTGCATATGCACTATATTAAAAAACCTTTTTTTATTATAATTAATATAAAATTAACTAAATCAATTTTTTAAAAAATTAGCTAACTAAGCTAGCTAAGGTTAATTTTTTTAAAAAATCAGCTAACTAAGCTGGCTAAGCTGATTTTATTAACTAATACAAAATAGACTACAAATACTAATTATCTTATTTAATTGAGTAAAACTTATATATATATATATATTAATAAAAATAAATCAACTAGTTAGATATGATCTATATATATAAAAGGTAGTCAATAGAAAAGAAACAAATTATTTTTAGTAAAATTTTTTTAATTTTTAAATTTAAATAACTTAACAATTATTTGATTAAATCTGCTAAAATTTTTTTTATTTTAATTTTGAAATTATATAGAATTAAAATAAAAAAAAATTATCAAATTTAATAAAATAGTTGTTGAGATATTTAAGCTTAAAGTCAAGAAAACTTTTACTTAGAAAAAATTTGTTTTTTTTCTATTAACTTACTCTTATATATATCAATTATTAAGTTATTTAATGATCTTTAGTATTTGTAATCAATTTTGCATTAGTCATTAAAATTAGCTTAGCCAGCTTAGTCAGCTAATTTTTTTTAAAAAAATCAATTTTAGCTAGCTTATTTAGTCAGTTTAGTTAGCTAATTTTTTAAAAAATCAACTTAGTCAAGTTGATTTTATAATAGGTTATATTAAAAATTATAGTAACCAATCAAGTTTAGACAAAATTATAGTATTTTTGACATTATAGTAATTTGATAATACTGAAATAAAAAACCTATCAACAATTAACAATTATTTGGCTAATTTTTTTACTAAATAAAAACAGCTTTAAAATCATATATATTTAATTAACCAATTAGGATTATTGACTTTAATTTAGCTGACTAAGCTAATTTTTAAATATTAGCTAAGTCAAGTTGATAAATTTGGATCAACTATAAACATTAGCAGATTTTAGTATCATTTAATTTCATAATTATCTGTAAAATTAATAATATTCTGGCTTATTAAGATTTTTTTCTAGATTGTGTTAATAATAATTTATATTGCTACTTAATAGCTACTTATACAGCTAATTAGTAGCAATATAAATTATTATTACATCTATTATTATAAATTTTAAAACATCTGCTCATTACTTAAAATTTTTTTAATTGTTTAGTAATTTACCTAACTCTTTGAAAATTATTATATATAAACTAAAGAGTTAAGTAATTTACTTAGTGATCAAAAAAATTTTAGATAATAAGCAGATGTTTCAGAATTTATAATAATAGCTATAATGCAATCTAGAAAAAAATCTACTAATCTCTAATAAGTCAAAATATAATTATTACTTATTATTTATTACTTTAATCTATTACTGTGATTATTTGTTATACTAATTCAATTTAATTTATTTAATTGCAATTATATAAAATACATATTAATTTTGATTATATAATTTAACTAACCCTTTTATGCTTTACATATGCAATAATTCTTTTAATATTATCATTGCTATATTCTAAAAGATAATTTGCTATAAAACATTCAGCTTGATCAATTGCTCCAATGCCAATTTTACTAAATATATTAAATATATTTTGTGTCTTATGTATTATCTAACAAAGATTTTCTATTATTATTTGGCAACTCATATAAGATAACATTGTGTTGTATATTTGTATACAAGCTGCTCTATTCTTTATACTTTCATTTATTAATTTATTTACTTGATTTTTAAAAGCTTCAGCATAATCATACTATTTCCTAATTTTTATTGAATTAAACTTTTTAGATTACTTTTTAGCTTGTTTTGCAATATTAAATAAGTTGACTAAAATTTAATTTGTCAGTTTGTAGACTTTAATTAAACTATTTTCTGTTCTATTAAAAGCAACTAGAACTTTAACAACTTCTAATATTTTTTTTAGTAATTTGACCTAATGACCTTTTTAATAATATCAATAAAAGTTTTAATATATTATTTTTAAACTTATTTTTCTAAATCAAAATTAATTTTTAATATACATTTCATAATATTGTAATATGGTTGCTTGACCTAACTAGATTCTAAATATTTGTTTAATAAATATGTCGTCGCCAGTTAAATCAA